ATTGACTAAGTTACTGCAGCTGGTTTATAATCAAAAGAATAGATGAATGTGTACATATTAAAGTCATATGAGTCTGGAAAAGAAAGAAATTAAGCTGAATTGTATAAAGCATTGATATGTGTTTATGAAAGGGGAGGAGTGGCAGCCTGAAATTCTCTTACAAGGTTGTCAAGGTTACAGGGAGCATTGCTTCTATAGGTGAGTGGCTTGAGTATTCTTTGTTGATAATTGGTATTGGCTGTTTTCTTCTGAGATAACAAAATTTGCATTTTAATTAAATCCCATTGTATTTATCAACATTAGAGCATATAACGTCATAATTCATTGGAAGTTTTTCCTAGTATCAATTTAAAAACTCATAAAAACATTTTGTAAGAGTTGCATTTACTCCAATGGAATCTGTTTTTATCTTTGAGAGTTTAAGAAGCAATATCCAACGATAAAATCCTAATGAATAAGACCCAGTTAGGCTGAGACCACATTGACCCTTCTAGAAACCTTCAAGTTCCTTATTTAGTGGTTCTAGTGTCAGGCTCATTTTTATACTGAGAAAACTATATTATGTTTCCTTATGGACATCCCTGGGACAGCAGGAACAGCCTCTTAGCCTTGCAAAAGTTTTCCCACTGCTAAGTGCTTTTTGGCACAAGTAAAAATGACAGAATCTTTTCTACAGTATTTTGCAAAACACATTTCTATTAGTGTTTGCATTAGGTATGTCCTGTCACACTGCTTGTCTTGCAGGAGTGAGACAAGGTTATATCTAGAGTTGGTGTAAAAAAGTGCAGCCTTGTTTGTGTCACTGGAATTAGGCATCTGCAACAGACTGTCCTCAAAGTATGACAGAGTCCTGCTACATCTACAGTTTGTGCCATGAACAGATCTAGAATTTTGAAAAGGGGGATGCCAATGGTGAGGTTCATCAGCATCTATACAACAACATACATTTTTCTTCAATTAAACAAAAAACTAGAAGCTTTACTAATATGCTAGGGGCCTAGAGCTGGGTTATTCTGTTTAAATTGAAGCAAAAACAAATATGACTTAATTGCAATGAGTTAATAATCTGCAGGGCTGTGAAATAGGAGTTGCATTACTGGGAGCAGCTAACAGAGAGCAGAACAAAGGATAGCTTGATTGGTGGCACATCAAGACCATTAAAAAGAAGACAGGATTGTTAAACACTTATGGAATTAAGAGTTTATAATGGGCCATGAAGTCAATTGACTCCCTCAGTGCTGCCTGACTAGAAGTGCTTCTGCCACTGTCAGGCAGTTGGTTATAAACTTTGGGTGGACCAGGAATCAAAGGGGAATGCAAGTGCACAAGTGCATCCCCCTTGGATCCACGCCTGAATTCTACTGTTGGAAGAAATAGTGTTTTAGAAGTAAGTTTAGGGCAGCCAGTGCGCTTTTGCTGGCCAAGATAAAGCATTTTCCTTTCCATTATCCCTGGTGGAGAGACGGATAATCCAGATCACTCTAACACCTGAACTAGCAAATATTCATACAGGCACAATAGCAAAATAACAATATAAAGAAAGAACAGTGCTTTTGCACTTTAAATGCTTCTTAAGTGACAGATAAAAAACATTTTTTTTTTAAATCTTGCTGTGTCTTTTATATACTGTGGCATGTCATGCCATCTGTAATTAGAAGTGACACATCTTACTGAATTATGTATTGAAAACCCACAGTTTGCTCAAACCAGAGTGTGGCTTAAAACACCTTAAAAGCATTTGAAGTAGCTTCCCTGGAGTGAAACAAGGAATGCTAGTTCTGTACTTCCTTCCCTTCTCATCCCTCATCTGCTTAGTATCTAGCTACTTGAGCAGAACCTAGGGAGAAGTTCTGCCTGTAGTTAAATGACTTTGGCTTTTGATCTAGATAACCACTAGTATCTATCCATTATCCTTTAGTCAGTTGTCCCATCATGTCTCTGAGTATATATAAAAAGAGAGCTTGATAGGTGATTTAAATCAAGCTAAGGGTTTTTAAAGTGCATTAACAATAAGACTGAGATCTGCCTGTTCAAAATACATGTGCATCTCCCAAGGAATTAAATATACATGACACTTCCTTGCTGAGTCAGGAGTATGCAGCAGTCCAACAGAGAGCACCCTCTTGTACATCTGTATCTCTTGAAATGAATCTCTCATCTCTTGCAGGACAGATTATGAGTGCCTTCATTATTATGAAATCAGGACTCGTAGTAAAGATGATATCTTTTATTAGACCAATAAGATTTTTGCAAAAATCTTTAATTGCAAGCTTTCAGGCACAAATGCCATTCATCAGGCATTGGAGAAAAGATTGTAAAAGTTCAGTCTCCAGTTACCTTTGCAAATGGAACCCAGAAAAGAAGAGACATACAGAAGTGAAGTAACAGTAGAAGTTTTAGGGTTCATCTTCTGAAATGCACTACAGTGTAGAGATTGAGGAGATGTATTTAAGTAAAAATAGATAGTAGGTGCCCCTCAAACACTGGGTGAATATTCTTATTAATCCTGCTAATGCCTTTTCAGTGAGGCATAATCCTCTTCTTACAGATGAGGATGTGGAGGCTGAGGGTATACAATATGTACAGCTTGGAGCTAGGAGTCAAGTTCAAGGTGTTTGTGGTTTCCAGTTCCATGTACAGTCTTTGGGTATATTTGAACTTGCTAGCTAAAAAGTCCAGAATTGAATTTTGTTTTAACACCAATAAGTCACAGAAGTCAAAGGACTTGTAGACTGGGGATTGATGCATAGTGTACGATTTTGTTCCAAGAATATCCACCTGTTTATATGCATATAGGCATCAGTGGGTTATTTTGATAGAACAGGGTAAAATTAGCTCACAAAGAACTCTGTCCTGCCATGGCCAGGCAGCAGATTTAAAGCCAGCGTATCTGTGACTGCAATGCAGACATGGCTCATGGAGACGGATCATGCTATATATACATCCCTTTTCCATGGTGATTATGTAGCTGTTAAGTGGCATCTAGGTGCTGGCTCCCTGGACAGTGCATTTTGTCTTTGCTGATTGAGCATTTCTCTTATATACCTTCTCAATCCAGGGCCTTTACAGACAAATACATAAAATGCTCAGTCTTCTTTATTAACTGGTGATGTAAAACCAATTGCAGGCTAAACCATAGGCATTTAGGTACATGAAAAATCAGGCAACTAGAAAGTTCATTTGAAACATGACCAAGGATGCCAAGATTAACAACAATATTGGTAAAAAGACTTTACTGCATTTGCAGACTACAAATGGTCAGGACTCCAATGCTCTGTCTCTTTTGGAAAATATGGTACCTTCTGCAGCACCCTCAGAAGAAAGAAGGCCAATGCTCCTTACAGTACTTGAGGTTTCTTGTTTCAGCATTGCTCCAGCCCAGGGATGCATAACTTATGAAAAGGAGTCAAAACTAAGTGGTGGTAATATAACATAAGCAAAAAAACAAACAAACAAGGGTGCTGATCTTAATGTTGGTATGTATTGGCAATTCTGTAACAGGCAAAATGTGGAATGAGGGAAAAGCTTTAAAACCCAAAGGGAAGCAAACTGTTTTAGAGGTCTGGGCTGCAGACCATCTGAAAAAGGAAAAGCTCTGTTGTTAAATCTGCACAGCGTAAAAGTATCTCTCTTCAAATTTATGTAAGAAGTACACTATATTTTTCTTAAATATTTTATAGCCTTCTTTTGCCTGGGCAACTCTACAGTATTCTGTCTAGTGTAGTGTCCACCATTAGTATGGTTGTTGTGGTGGCCAGATAATGAATGAAATTATGTTTTTCACTCCAAGATAGGCATAAATCATCTGACCTATGCCTTCAAAATTATGATGTTGTTCTACTGTTTATTTGCAAGAATCCGCAAAAACATGGGCCATTCCTAGTGTTTTATATGATGTAGCACAGCACTTGGCGTGGTTCTTCTCACAGATTTAAGCAACTGAAGATCTAGTCCTCAACCATAATTACTATACCTCTTGGGCAAACACCTTCAAAGTTTGCTGAGATTTTGCCTATCTAAATTCCCCTAGAGTTTCAGCCAGATGCAGTCAATGCACTTTAGTTCTAGGTTGCATATAAGGTTTGCTGTGTCCTGTTAAGCAGTCAGACTGCACCTTAGAAATAAATTGACTTTTGCATGCTAAATGCATGATGTGCCCTGGTCCTTTGAGAAGATAGCGTATAAATATGAGCTGGTGATTGGTAGAGTTTAGAGCACTGACATGAATAGTTGTGGATCCTGGTGTTGGAAATTGATTCCTCTTTTTTGACAGGTAATTGCACATGCAGCCACCTGTGACAGCAATATGATAGCATTAGCTTCTGACAGCATCATATCTGTCAGCATGGATACTCTATGGGCAGGCACTTCTGCCCCTTCCTTGGAAACCAAGTGGTTTCAGAACACTTTAGGAAGGGGCACTTAGCGCACAGGCTGCAATAATGACTCAAATTACTCTGCTCTGCTAGAGACTAAATATTTTCTCAATTTAGAGAAAATAAAGCACTTGGGTATTTTGTGCTCAGGACACATTCTAAACATGTTTTCAGTGAAAACAAGCAAACAGTAAAACCTAGCACAGATTGCATAACAACTTGCAGTAGCCCTGTTGTCTTCTGCTCTCTGGACCGTAAAGAGTCTTTTCTTATATCTGAAATCTGTGTTCCTCTGGATGGTCAAACTCTGCCCAGATGTCTACTGCAGCTGTCTGTTTCACGTTATCTTGCTATAGAGTGCTGAACAACTAGCATGATTTTCTATTCCTGGTGGGAGGAAATTATGCATACACAAACTCTAAGCAAGCCAAGAACCAAAGGTTCTTACAATCTTACTCTGCATTTAAACCTCCTGTACAACCTTCACAGCCTATGGTAGAAGTAGCATGCTCTTTGTTAGGAATTTTATATTAGCTTTGCAGTGTTTAACAAAACTAAGCTAGACAGGATCACAGTATGTTTTAAGTATCACAGTTGCATTCTAAATTATTTGCTTTGTTTTAGGCCCGAACTGCTTTGCAGAAACCACTGTCATTCCAGCAGGCCGAGAGGTGAAAACTGATGAATGCACTATATGTCATTGTACTTATGAAGAAGGCACTTGGAGAATTGAACGACAAGCTATGTGCACTAGACATGAATGCAAACACATCTAGGAAACCTACAAATCAAAGTACTTTGATTTTTTTATAAAACGTTTCACTGCGGTGAGCACCCAAGATGACTCTGGGAAATCTGAATCATTGTAATTAGAAGATTTGGGGAAGGAGAAAAGAATGGCATCCTGGTATTTTGTTTTTCATAGTAACATAATACTGCAAGGCAAAGAAATGCACATATTTAAAGAAGTTTGGACATAAAGATTCCTGTCTTAATAAATGTGTTTTATTTTCACAGCGAGTACACTGAAGTATACTCTATCAAATATTCGATGTATTTCTATAATCCCATTATAGATCTTAAAAATAAATGTTTTATATAGATAATACAGATTAAAATACTGTATGGTCACCTGTCCTATTGTATACATGAACCATGCCTAAACCATTTCCATTCTAGTTTTATCATCTTTTTCTTTTTTCTGTTGTGGGTAACAATAATTTGTGCCTGGCCAGGAAATAGCCAGCAGATCACAGACTTTAGATACTTTAAAAAAATATATGTGATGTTTCAAAAAATATTGCTGTGCAAAAGTGAGCCCAGTCCTCTTCTCAGTTTACTGGTGCCTCCCCAGAAATGGTGTAATTGGGAACAGAGCTTGAAACTGCAACTTCTGTAATACCCACTATGAAACTCTGGTTGGATAAATCACATTGATCCCAAAAAAATGAATTTGTCTTATGCATCACATGAGGACTAATTCCATAGTGATGTAAATTGTAGCATCCTATATCTAGGATGAAGAACTGTAAGTAGCAAAGCGGTGTAATTTGCAATTTCTTAACATTTAAACAGTACGCAAATTAAGGTAACGGAAACAACAGAGGGTGAAGGAGAATGCAGCAGGTGAAGCAAGTAAAGGAAAGAAGATTAAGCAGGACTCTTATAAGAAGTTTTTTTCTGCTACTAAGGTCCTGATTGACGAAAGCATTTCCATGTGGTGTTCACTTTAAGCTATGGTTTTCTCAGAAAGGGAAACGTTTGTGAATCCGGCAGAATACAGTGTTAGTGTCATGTTAACTACCTTGTTACTTAGGTACATGAAAAACTATTTACATTATTTGGTTCAGAGACTTCTATCAATTCACCATGGGTAAAATCCAAGCCTCACTGAAGTTAACGGAAATGTTGCCATTGACATCAGGATTTCTCTCCCAGTCTGGAGTTTTCGTATACATATATGCTTTATCAGGTTATTTTTCCAGATATATCATAGACAAAAATGATCAAGTAAAGAGTTATATGCAGAGGACACAAATATGCCAGACAGACCGAAGCTAGGTATGTATAGCTATTCCAAATCTGTCTAAGAGCAATCACAAGATGCACCTCAAGATATAGCCTTAGTCCCCCCAGGTGGAGAGAGAGAGAGAGAGAAAGAAGTCTGAGACAGACTGCTGTAGCTGATCTGCTTGAACCCCTCTTACCTGTTAAAATTGTTTCCCTCAAGCATATACACACCAACGTAAAAACCTCCAACGTTGCAGTTGAAACAGAAGTGATTCTGCAGCAACTGGATTGCCAACAGGTGAGTACTAAATACCTCACCATAAAAATGAACTGTGAGTCAGAGTGCTTGGTTTTGCTGCACTTCTTATTCCCTGAATGGCAATGTCTAGCTCAGTAGGTTCCTACTCCATGGGTGTGTGTACATGAGACACTTTACTGTGAAGTAGTGTAGTTTACTGTGCAGTAAGCATCTGCACCTACATGTGCTCATGCTTACTACACAGTAAACCTCACTATTGCAAGTAAATTTGCAAATGCAGGTAGCAAGTATATTCATGAATAGTTATTGCATAGTAACGCCCAACAGGGAGCAAATATGCTCCCAGTTAGCCAGTCACCGAGGGTGGAAGATTGCTCCCTGCCCCTGGGAGCTGCCTGCTGCTGGGGCAGGCTCTGCCATTGCAGCCTGGGTGGGGACTATGTCCCCCTGCCCTGGCAGTAGGGAGCTCCAAGACCCTTGCTTTAAGATTGAAATCAGAGAGTGGGGGTTGGGAAATCCTTATCTCCCAGCCCCCATTTTGCCATCACAATTGGGGAGCAGTGGGGCTGGGATCTCCCTGCTGGCAGGGGTTGGGGAGCCTGTTCCCCGCCCAGCTCCATGTGTGCGGAGCTGGGGAGGGAACAGGCTCCCCAGCCTGTTCTTCACCCAGCTCCGCAATTGCAGAGCTGAGCAGGGGAAAAAACTCCCCAGCCTGTTTCCCACCCAGCTCCGTGACTGCAGAGCTGTGAAGGGAACAGGCTCTCTACCCCTTGACCTGCAATTGTGGAGCCAGGGCTGGGAACTGTCCCAGTCAGGGGCAGGTCCCAGCCCTGCATCCCGATCTGGAGATTGAGGCATGGAGCTTGGAAAGAGCTTCAGGGGTGGGGCAGGTCCCAGCCTGCTGCCAACTTCCACCTGTGGTGCAGCTAGTAGTGAGCCCTCAGCTGGGTAGGGAATTCCTGCCCAGCCAGGGGCTCACTATTAGCTGCACCATGGGTGGATTGGAGCAAGGGGCTGGGACCTACCCCTCACCTGCAGTTCTTTCCAAGTCCCCTGCGTGGATCAGGGATGTGGGGCTGGGAGCTCCTTGCTGCTGGGCCAGGGGGACATTGTCCTTGCCCTGGCAGCAGACAGCCCCCTGGGGCAGGAAGCAATGTCCCAGCCCAGTCCTTCCTGCCAGCCCCTGAGCTAGCACATAGGGGGAGCCTAGAGCTTCCTCTTTTGTTGGCAGGAGCCCTTTGTAAGGCTGCAGGAAGTGAGAGCAGTTTGCTGCTAGGAGCAGCAAATCTGCTCCCAGATCCCTGCATGTGTAGATGCCTGTCTGGAAGCCTTTACTGACAAGTAAACTGATCACCGATCAAATGCACGTGTAGATGCACCCCGTGTGAGTCAAAAGAAGAGTATGGCTCTAAATCAGGTCCATATCTGATTCACTAGGTCTGTGTTGATCTATTGATTTCACTGAGATTACTCATAAAAATGAAGCTAGCAAGCTAGGTCCTGAATTACTAAGACCCAGATCTTTCCTACTGAAATCAATGGCAGTTAGATGCTTAAATATGTCTGAGAATTTTAGTCTGAAAGCCTATTCCTAACTCTTTCCACTGTACTAATATGATATTCCATGTTTGTTTCCTTGAGACTAGTGGACTGTTTGCATAGAAGCTTCTATTCAATGCGAGTTAAAGTAGCAAAATTGAAACTAATTTATGTAACTTGCAGGAACTGGGATTCAGAATAGGATGATAAACTGTCTACCTTATCGGGACATTTACTATTGTATTTAGGTAGCAAAATGATATGAAATTTACCATATTTACATCTCTTAAAGCATATATCCATAATGTTTAACTTTAAAACTTTTAATTGCATGAAAACCCAGCCTCTCTTCCACTCAAGATCCTTGCTAAGATCACGTTGTTTCTGTTGGGCTTGGATTTCCATTTTGTTGGGAGCTTGGTTATCTTTCAAGCAGTAAGTACATAAGTAAATGATTTATATTTTTTCAGGAGCAAAACTAGGGCAGAGAGAGTGGGGCATCAGCACTGGGCACCAACTATTGAGGAAGCACCAGAGATATATCTGGCAATCTTTTCAATGGCATGAGCAACCCTGCCAGGCACAGGAGCAGGCAGGAAGGACAGTGTCTCTGGGGAAAAGCAAAATGGTGCTCCCTACTGCCCTCAGAGAACCTGCTATAGCAAGCATAGCCCTATACCCAGTAGTATATTTGGGGGGCACAAGGGATGACTCTCAGGGAGCCCAGCCACGGGGGCTACTCCTGCCTGAGCCAATGCTGCTATAGAAGCAGCAGCAGCAACCACCTTTGCAGAGAAGAGCAGCAGGTAAGACTTCACTAATCCTCCATCCCCCACCCCCCTGCTATCCGGGAGTCAGCATACCTTCCTACCCCCTTGCCCATCTAAGGTGCTGAAGGGACTTCTTATACCTCTGTATTTTCCCCATTATGCTTTAGCTGGGCTGGGGTGATATTTGGCTGGGGTGTTATGACCCCGGCACTTGTTCCTGCCTGGGACGGGGTCAGACCTGATGATCTGTTTAGGTCCCTTCCGACCCTAAGCACTATGAAACTATAAGCTATTCCAAATGTTTCAAAATGTCTTATATGATTATTTAATAATTGGTGAAAGGAACCTAGAAACAGAATGACCTTAACTTAAATGGACTTAAGGAATACCCAGTTACCTAGACTTACCCAGGGATGTCAGCACTCCCTCTCCACAACAACTATGATTGCTCTTCTTGTTAGCAGCCTCAACTGATGCAAAAGGACTGCGAGAGCCTGAGGGCTGTTCTACTGCTGCTAAGTGAGGTAGAGCCACCTTGGCAATGTCATACGGGGTATATGTAGGGCTTGTGTATAAAAGCTTTAAACTCTTGGGCTGTCAGTTGGGTATCTTGAACCTGCACTCATTCTCTAGCATTTAAAAGGTGGTAATAGGAATGCTTCAGATAGACCAGGGTTTATGCAGTCAATGGAGAAAAGTACATGAATTAAATTTAAAAACAAGGTCGCTTGTAACCTGTTCTCTATGTGCCGAGGCCTCAAGTGGAAACACCTTACATATAGTCTTTCAAGCAGCAGTGGAAAAGAAAAATGAAACTTTACTGAGTACACAATACAGTTAGGGAGTGAGGACTCCTAAGCCTTTTACAGCAAAATAGAATGTTTTGATGGCCGTGTTAAATATCGGTGTGAAAATCTGCATTTATCTAAATCTCACCACCCAGCCAACATAATATTGCTGTTCACATTGAGAAGTTCCTGTTTAACTTCCACATTAAAAAAATGTAGAATTAAAATCCAGCTGCATAGTTTTTAATGAGCAGAGCCCAGAGCATGTTGAATAGTGCAGACTCCCAGACAGAGTGAGATGTCTTCATCTGAGGTTTGAACAAAATAAACAGTAAAGCAATGAAAGCAAGCTCAAGATGTTTCTTGAACAGCCACTTTATTGGTTATTGGAAGTTTAATTTAACTCTTTTCAGTGTGTAAATTCCAACAAGTAAAATGTATTTACTGAAGTGAAAAATGTCAGTTTGCCATAAAATACAATCCTGTGTGTAATATAAGTATTTGATTTAGAAAATACATTTGGTTTACAGATTAATGTATATTGTCCAAAACAGGTAATTTAAAGTGATCTGAGTCACTTTGATGGTTCATGAATACACTTGTCTTTAAAGGTGATTTAGTCTTTTTGGGGGCAGTAGGGGATTTTCCTTCCCCAGCTGTTATCAGAGGCATTTG